TCACTCGAGGCGAGCACGCAGTAGGTCAGGTAGTCGGACTGCCTCCCCGGACAGATCGGTCCCTAGACCCCAGAGGGATTTCGGCCCTGAGGGCAGCCAAGTAAGAGCCAGATCGAACCCGATATTTTCCCCGGGTCTCGGCCCCGGGGTAGATCCTTACGGAAGCCATCACGGAGCAGAAATGGACGCGCAACTGAGAGTCTCGAGGGGCTTCGTGCCTCTCAAAGCTCACCCTGGGATAATTCCCGCGATGAACCAACTGCTTCTCGCCGCGGCCTCAGCTCAGAATGAGCCCCCCCCCCCCCGGGAACAGAACTGCCTCATAACTCTGGCCCGACAGCACATCCAGAAGCAACAAGACTCGATTGAGGAGATTTAGGAACAAATATCGGACCGAAAAGCCGGGCCGAAGGAGAGACTTCCTCATCAGCGTTGGTAGCACACAGCCGTAGCTCAAGGGGGCAATCGCCTCTCAAAATGCCACGTGTGACGCGGACCACGTCAGCTACACACCAGCTATTGTTGCTGAAAGCACCGCCGGATCACAATGCCTTAATGCAGGAGGATTCAAAGCAATCTGTAGGTAGTATGGCTGAGTCGTCGGCATCAGCACGCTCAGACAAGGGGGATAAATCGCTTCCGCAGACAGGGATAAAGACATCACGTAGTAGGAGAGCGATTACAATTTCCAAGGGGCAATCTGCCTCGTTGGACACATGGCTACTCCCTCTGATATGCTCGATGGTCAATGGCTCGATTCATGTGGTGGCGTGGCAACCAGATGACACAAAAATTAATTTTTTAACGCAGATGGTCGAAGAGCCAGTCACCCCCCAAGTCATTCTATCGGTGACAAAGCACATGTTCGCAGATCGCTTTCCGGTAAGGTTAGTCCCAGATATGGCTATGCCGAGGTTTTACCCGGAAGTGCCCAATCGCAATTGCAAGTTGTTTACCCCTTTACTGGATGCATGTATACCCTCAGATAGAATGGAAGCCCTCCTATCGGAGGGCATGAGACTGATCCCCATCTCGCTTTTCGTTGAGGAAGATAAAGAGACACTGCAGCGGATGATGGTACAACACATTGGTGACGCAGGCTTCCTGTGCGAAATCAATGAGAAGCTACCAAAAAACAAACTGCTGCAGTCCATCCATCTGAAAAATCTTCTTGCTCAGAAGTGGGCCTCCTCGTCAGCAGCAGGCGCATCATCCAAAGCTGGGGGCACGAGTGTTCGACCACCACCTGCGCAGGCAGGTGGCAGAGGACATCCCATTGGCCCTGCCATCCAATCGAGGGTTCTGAGGACAAGCATGAATGAATAACTGTACTATAGCCTCTTGGAACCTGCGCGGTCTTTGCGACCCCACCAGAAGGGGCAAACACGCACGTTTTAAGTCCTGGTTACACCAACAGCGGGTGCAGATAGCCTGCATTCAGGAAACTAAGCTAGATGAAAGGAAAATAGCAGAGCTTGGTGCATGGTGGGATGGGCCCCAGACAGAGCGGAACGCACTAGGTTCTTTGAAGACCTGATCTCACACACCCCGGATGTTGATAACCTGCTGGTGGTGGGCGACTGGAACTGCTCACTGGATGACATGCTAAATGCAGGATCAGGCTCCCCAGATATTTTAGCGCTGGTTGATTACATGACAGAGCTGGATCTGTGCGATGCCTTTCGTTTAATGCACCCCACAAACCCAGGTTTCACATGGGGTTCTCAGGCCACGGTAGGGAATGCAGTAGGTGTGCTCAGGAGGTTAGACTACGGTCTCTTCAGCCCAGCATGGATGGACGCGACCTTAAATGTGGAGGTAGTCAGGCGGCCCACCTCAGATCACTACCCAATCAAAATGACACTCCAACTGTTAGACGTGGTAGACCGGGGTACGGGCTTCTTTCGGCTCAATATTCAGAATTTGAAGGACCCAGGCCTCTCGGCCTGGGTCAAGTCTTTTTTCCAGAAATGGCCCCGAGCACAGCCTCATTTTCAAACTGCAGGCGAATGGTGGGACGCAGGGACTGCCATAGCAGCAAATTTCTTAAGCGTCTTCTCACGTATTCTTGCAGCGGAAAGAAACAAGGAGGAACAGGACTGTCTAAGAGACCTACAATGGGTGGAAGAACGGATGAACCTCCATCCAGTCTCAGCTTCTGTATGGGCAACAGAACGGATGCGGATTCTCTCAGAGTGGGATGACATACAGCAAAGGAAGTCGGAGGAATGGGCTGAAAGATTGACTGTTAAAGGAATATCGGTCTACGACCGTATGACAAAAGAATCCTTTCAGAAACTGCTGCCCAAAAGAGCAGCACAGTCAATGAAACAACTCACCCACCCATTTATCCCACAGGCTAGAGTGGCCACAACCTCAGAAGCAATGTGCAATTACGSCGCTATGTACTWTAAAGACATACTGACATCGCGCAGACCTGGGGAAGGACCGGAGACTGAKCTATCARCAGACTCACCGCATTGGAACAATCTCACAGCCYGCCTTCCCACTGTAGGGACGCTGGATCTAGACAGACCAACTACGGAGGAAGAGGTAAGAGAAACAGTGAAGAGTATGGCGAAAGGGAAATCACCGGGAGGCGATGGCCTCCCGGTGGAGTTTTATCTGCAGCACGGTAATTCCATGTTTYCACACCTAGTCRAGATCTATAATGACGCACTCACCGGGGGACAACTGTCTAGAGGGATGGTACACGACATCATCTCTATTATGTACAAGAAAGGAGATAAATCAGAAATCAGGAACTGGCGGCCAATCTCGCTGTTGAATGTATCCTACAAAATACTAGCAAAGCTGTTGGCTAGAAGACTAGGTAGATATCTACCGGGGTTAGTAGAACGGGACCAAGCTCCGTTTGTTCAAGGACGATCCAAAAAAAAAAAAAAAAAAAAAAAAAAAATGGTCTATCTTGTATTTTCTTTTGGTTTTGTTGAATGGCTTTGGTTTTTGAACCTCCAGCACTGGACCAGGCACATTTTCGGTCCAGGTGCACAATCCATGCACCTCCAGGTGCCACAGTCTTACCCCGCAAACTCAGGGGCCAAGAACATATAGTTATTATGGCTGTATCCAGACTGAAAGTTGGCCCAAATACAGTTATCTTGCATGTGACCCTGTTCTATTCGGGGGAAGACTGTAGCCTAGATCTTTCCATTCTGACCGCAGATACGAAAGGAAGATCAACAGCCAGAATACGAACACAGGAGAGAGAAAAGGAAATGCAACATATTTCTTTTTTCCTTTTTTTCTTTTTTCTTTTTTCTTTTTTCTTTTTTCTTTTTTCTTTTTTTTCCCCATTTATTTCTTCCTGTTTCAGGCAGAAAAGGTTACCTAAAAAAGGGCAGAAGACTTATAAAAAAAAATCGCCCACAGGTGTGGAAACCCACCTGGCACCTGGGAAAAAAAAGCGCCACCGCACCTCGGACCAACCTTGTAAGGGATGCTAGGCCCGATTCCTGGCACCGAAACATAAGGGACGCCGGGCCACACTGTGACTTTGGGACTGAATAGACACATGATTTGGGTTAGATACATCTGGTAAAGTCCTACTGGTCCAGCTATGCACTCAGCATGATTGTTTCATAGTAAATTCACACTCTCTTTTTTTGGATTGACCCTGCAAGGGCTTGAGCCGGTAATCTTGGGCTCTTGCGGAGCCTGGAACCCCCCCTCTACGCAAGAAAAAAAACAAGCAGGACTGGCACAGGCCTCCTGACGGCTGACACCACCCGCGTTATTGCTCCAGCAGGCCGACCCACGAAACTTGACCGAGAAAAATGGCTGGGCTGGGTACTGGTAGTTTTTTACACCACCAGTACCTCCGCGGTGGCCGGTGGATCGGTACGCCGGGTCCATATGCATTTGCGTCAGAGGGGGCCCAGAGGGGGCCTAAGACCCCCTGGGGTACTGGTGGCTTAACCACTGCAGCCATCAGGCGGCGTTAAAAAGTGACCCCGTGACGGTCGTGAGATCCATTCTCACCCTTGCACGGTTGCAGTACAAACACACACTGTAAAAAAAAAAAAAAAAAAAATAAAAAAATAAAAAAACACTCACACACTGTCACTCGCCAAACAGCATCATCAGAGATTCTCTGACTCAGGGCACAGCCCTGAGCACGCAGCCGCCTGCTCCACTCCGGTCTGCTCTGCGGCTAGGTCCCACTTACAACGAATTAAGCGATATTGACCGTAGATAGCAAAGATCAACGGCCAGATTCTCGTAATCCGTGCAAGTGGGACCTTGCCCCCGGGTGCAATTTCATCGGCCTACCATCTTTCCCTGGATAAAACTTATGGTCCTTAGCACTGCATTTAGACTGAAGTTTGCACCAAATACAGTTGCAAGGACCGTACATTCTATTACGGGGGTTACCACGCAGAAGCCCCGTCTGACCCTTTCTTTGTTCAGACTTTTTTTTTAATTTTTTTTCAGACTGAGGGTCTCGTTAGACACTCCTAAAAGAATCCTAAAATTTTTAGGACGAGTCCTAAAGGATTTTTAGGATTCCGTGCGGCGCCGTTACATGCAGTCCTAAAAATCGTCTTTTAGGATTCGTCCTAAAAGGTCTCCCGCGGCCCGTTTTCATATTCGTATACGCAGCCGCGCCGCCGATGTCCGCCGGGTCCTGGCTGGTGTCCATGGTACACACTGCGGAGGCCTTGGGCGGGCGAGGAGGGGTGGGTGAAAAGCGTGGTCACCCCGAACTTGAAAAAATTCAAATTCGAATTTTCGCGGACGCAAGGCGGCAGGGGCGGAGGACGGCCGGGCGACGCGTCTGACGTACAAAAGACGGCGCTGGCGAAGCGTTCAGCGCGGGTATCCATCTTCCGAGTCCACGCGAGTTGCGAGCAGCGGGGGCAACTTCCGGCAAGGCGGATCCTCGCCACCATCGCTGTGTGCTGTCTTGTGGACTCCGACGCACGCCATCTTCTGTTGCAGCGTACGTCAGCGGCCGCATCTACGGGTCCGGTGTGCGTGTCTCTCTTCACCTGGTTCAGCAGCGGGCGTGTCTTCGGCGTTTGTGGCAGGCGTCACGCTCCTCGGGGAGGAAGATTCCCAGAGATGGATCTTCGCGTCAGCGGGCACGGTCTGCACAAAGAGGAGATCGACGCGGCCGCGATGGCGGTCACTCCCGTCGTCGTGAACACGATGGGCGGCATGTCGTCGTCCTCAAGCGACATGCTGACACAGCTCCGAAAACGAAGAGCGCTGTTGCAGCGCATTGCCGAAGCACCGGATTGCGTGGCAACGTGTGAGGCAGTCGTCCAGTTGTGCGCCGCGCTGTCATCTGGCGTTTTCCCGCGGCGGACCCCGCGTTGGTGGATCAAACGACGGACTGGCGGGACATGGGAGGATCTCCGCCTCTGTGATGACGCGACGGACGAGTATTACCGGCAGAAGTTGCGCATGTCATTGGCCATGTTCAGGCAGATCGTTGCCGCGTGCGCCACGTACGTGGAGAAGAAGGTGACGCACTACAGGATGCCTTTGCCAGTGGAGCAGGTGATCGCTTTCGCGTTGTACAGGTGGGCGTCAGGAGAAACGTACAAGAGCGGCACTTCGTCCTTCGGCATCGGCAGGGCAACTGGACTGCAGGCTGTCCGCGACGTCACTTCAGCGCTGCTGCAGGCATACCCCGACGCTATCAAGTGGCCAGTTGGCCGTAGACGTGCGCAGATTCTGCACGCATTCCGTGACAAGGGTTTCCCAAACTGCTTCGGCGCGATCGACTGTACACACATCTACATTGACAAGCCCGCCGGCGCACCTTCTGACAACTACTACGACCGCAAACAGAAGTTCTCCGTGCAGGCGCAGGTGGTGGTGGATTTGGATCTGCGAATCCTCGACGTCCACATCGGATACCCGGGAAGCGTGCACGATGTACGCGTCCAGCACAATTCCCAGCTGTGGAGGCGTGCAGAAGCTGGCAAGCTGTTCGACGCACCTCCGGAGAATCTGCCGCACGGTGTCGTCACGCGAGGTTACCTGCTAGGCGACAACGGTTATCTTGTTGCCTGTCCATGGATCGTGCAGCCGTACGGAGGAATCGACCAACATCCTGACGACGAGCGCTTCGACACGCGGCAGAAGGTGGCGCGGGGGTGTGTGGAGAGGGCATTTGGGCGACTGAAGTGCATGTGGCGTCTGTTTTTGCGCACCCACAAGACGAACCTGGAGACCTTGCCACAACAATTCGTGACTTCCTTTCTTGTTTTGGCACGTGGCCGCGTCTGTTGGCAACACTGCGCGAAGTAGCTGGGTCGATTGTATGGCGGCATGGTTGTCGTCTGTGACTTCCTTTCTTGTTTTCGTCGTTTGGACGGTTGCGTGGTTCGTACAATTGTACGAACGTTTCATATTGGAAGAACCTTTTTTTTGTGTATCTCTCTCGGTTTTGGTTTTCTTTTTTTTTTTACATTTTTTTGTTTTAATTTGTTTTCGTACTTTTATTTTTCGGTGACTGTGTCTTCAAATCGACTGTCTCGAATGTTTCGGTTTGGTAAGAAGTTTTCTTCTTTTTTTTCTTCTGCATCCTCAACTCCTTTTTCATTTGTTTTTGTGTGCCTCTTCAAATCTTCAGTCGCGCATGTTATCGTTCGCTTCTCTGGCGGGATGACAGACAGACGTGTTTTGCAATTGTTGATGCAAGCTGCTTCACATTAGTAAACTGCGTAACACAAAAAACAGACACATATGAACATGGATTGCGTGCATGCATAGGAGTCAATCATCTACAATCACCTTGCAATCATTCGACAAAACTTGACAGAAGACACGAGAACAACGGACACATCAAAAGAGTGCGCTGAAAGCGCTATGAACTTCTCGCGCAGCGAGCTGCGAATATAAGTACACAATACACGACGACATTGAATGATACCTTCGTCGACTACAACGACCGACACACTGCACACCTGTACCCCGACGCACCACAAACCATTCAAACCTATCAACCCGACTTCGTGGCAGAGGCGATGCGCTAAACAAGTGCGCAACCGACGACGATCTTGCGGAATCCCTCTCTCCGACACACTAAGCAGGTGCGCACTTTGCGTCGGTGCAACCCCATCCTCCCGCATGACGACCATCCACTACAACATGCGCGCGAGTCCATAGAAGCAGCCAAACCTCCGCTCCCATCCCATCCGTCTTCCTCCCCAGCCAACCATCAGCCCCAGCCTCCCCCCCCCTACGCGTCATTTTTCCCATCGTCGTTGTTGTCATCATCAAGGGGGCCCGAACCCAACCAATCTAGCTTCTTTGCATCCTCCGGCCCCGTTATGCTCGCGTCGTGCCTGAAAGCAATGCCGCAGGGCGCCCATTGAGGTATGTAGTTGGGGTACTGTCCGAACGTAGCGGTCGCTTTCCCTAGCCTGTCTGTGACGACTTTCGCGGCGCGGACGACGGATCGTCGATGATCGAAGGAGCGATGCATGGCCGCGATGAGTGTGGGCTTCGCCACGAGGTCCGCGAAGTAGAAAACCTCGTAGTGGCTGCGCGGATCGTCTCCCGCCATGCGCATTATCCACATGCACGCCGCCAACAACAGCCTGAAGCAATCAGCCATCCGAGAAAGACGATCATGCGAGATGAACTCGCCGTCGATGAGCGCCCCCATTTGCACGGCCGCGCGAAATGCATACGCGACGCGGATGACGATGGACTCTTGGTGCGCCGCCATGTCGTCGTCCTCTGGTCTGTCCTCGATGTTGGCGCCGGCGAACCAAAGCGGTAGGTCCATGGACAGATCTATCGTGTGCGCGCAAATCGCCGGACTGACAACCTCGCACCACTCCTCGCCGTACCACATGGCACGCGCAATGTCCGTCGCAAAGGATTCCATCCAGTACTGGAAAGCCACATGGTATCCCCTTGGCCGATTTCCGGACTTGAATACCCATTCGTGCAAGATGCGCAGAGCAACGTTCTCCACTGCCGCCGCACGGGAGATCGCTTGCTACAGGAAAAGATTGGTGTTGCATGCACCCATCAGGAAACTGTTAAGTACACTGCGAGAACAGGGATTTTTGAAAGGAGACTTTATACCCACGGCAAACTGCGATTGGTCAACGATCCTGGCCACGTGCGTGCTGGCTTTGGGCAGAACGACGCTCCGAGGGACGTCAGGCGCTGGAAGTCCGCTGGCGATGGCGACGAAGTAGTCTTTCGTTTCGTGCACGATGTTGTATAGTCTTTGCCCCTCCCCCGTCGTCCAGAAAGCTTTGTCATCGACCCAAAGGACGGCACGATCAATGAGGTCTTTCGTCATGACACTCCTTCGTGGCCTACTTGAACCGGCCTCGCCTGCTTCCCGCTCGACTTTCCTCTCGCCACGTGCCTCCTCTCTCGCCGTCGCCACAACTGCTGCGTCCTCCCTCCCAGTCGCTATGGCGCCCACATTGCCTGAACCAACTGCCCCCACGGCACCTGCCACCTGGGCACCAACTGCGCGAGCGTCTGCCACGACTTCCCCCCCGCCAACACGTTGAACGGACCCTCCATCACCAGCGTCGTTGCGCTGACGTGGCTGAGACGGCGTGGCGGGCAGCTTGCCCGAGACTGGCCTATCGTTTGTAACAACCCGCACGACCACCTCCGGCCGTGGGGTCGCCGTCGTACGAATGCGAATGCGGTGTCTCTCCAAGGGCTCGTCATCATCGCCGCCAAGATCGACGACGGGAGCCTTCTCTGTCCGCGTTTCACAACCACGCAGTTGCTGCGCCTCATATGGAGGGGTCTGCATCCTCTTCGAAGCGGTGCAATCAGAATAGCGTTGCCGATCGCTCTCGTGTGCTTCAGACGTTGTCGCCTCCGCCTACTCCTCCTCCGCCGTGAACTCATCGTCACAGTCCCCTTCCACTTCCCCCGCCCAACCTTGCGCTCCACGACCACGAACCCTTGGCAACACATTTTCCGTACGCACCCTCTTCGTTTTCGGGGCCTGCCGCCGCCCTCTTCCCTGCTCTTGACTATCGTCGACGACCACGTCGCGCTTCTTCCCACGGGTGTTCCCTCGCGTAGACATGTTTCGTGGCGACCTTTGAAGGCGAGCTTGGCAGTGTGATCGGACGAGCAGGAAGTGTGGCCGACCTGGCGAAAAATATGTCTCCCGTGAAAAAGGTCTCCCGTGCGGCTGTGGCGTGACGACCACGACGTGCACGTGGCAGACAGTTGATACGTCCTCTGCGGGAGGAAGACACGACGGCGACGGACATCCACACGACGCAGTAGATCTCTCCTCCACGGGACGACGACGACGACGTGCACGTGGCACACAAGAGATCTATCCTCCGCAAGAAGAAGACGTGACGACGACGAACACCCCCGTGACGCAGGAGATCAGCCCTCCGTGGGAAGAAGACGACAACGTGCGCGTGGTTCACAGAAGGACGAAGGCCACGGCGGGAGTAATCCGCGTTGAGAAGACTGGCGGCGAGAAGAATACAAGAGTGACGATCACAATGATCCGCGGCGACCAGGCTTGCAGCACCTCGTCGTTGTTGCGGGCGGCTTGCGGCAGGCGCGGCGGGCTGCTGTACTGGAGACACCTTCGCGGCGTGGACGACATATAGACGGGTCGGGATGCGCAAGACTTAAGTAGTCTTTCGAAGATGGACCTCCCGCGACGTCGCTTCTTTCTGGCGGGAAATGACATCGTCGACGGTGGCACATGCAACCGCCCTGCCCACACTGCCGTGTGTTTTCCACCCCGAAGGCGCGAAAAGACCCTTCGACGTCGCTGGCGACGCGCGTCAATTCAGTCGCCAGGGACCGAACCCCTGCCCGCCCCATCGCTTTCCCCCCCGTC